CTTTACTTCTATTCTTCTCAAGACATTTTTTAGTAACTGCTAAACAGTGACCAATGATCAGTTACCTGCGAAACTGTTTGGTAGCGCAGTAAATTCAACCACCCAAATTACTCAAACGTTAATATAGTCTATGAAACTCTTTAAAATTTTAACTTTTAAAACCAATTTTTTTTTAGTAATAAATAGTTTTTTACTGTAATAACAGCAGACTGGTAGACAGTAACATTAGCCAAATAAAAATTCTTATTTGATATTTTTCAGCAACAGTTTGGATATTGGATATGCACTTTAAATTTGTAAATGCTTTCTTCTTCTTAAATCAACCTTAACAGATTAATAAAGCTGTATGGCGTACTCCAAATTTCTTCACCCTTTTTTTAAAAACCTTTTATAGTTAAATTAGCACCTTTCACGTATTAACTAGTACAAAGTGTAATTTCTTTCTGCTCTACAGCACTTTGTTTTTGAATTTTTTTCATCGACCTGGAGAAGAATAAGCTGCTTAAAAAATGACATTTATAACGTTTTTTAGACGTTTGAAGGCTAATTTTTTAAAATTCTAACATTTTTAGCATGACATTTTTTTTCCAACAATACTTTTTAGAATTTTAGAAATGTGTTACAAAAATGGTAATTGTTATTCACTGTTCTCGACGTTTTAATATACTGCGATTAGTGTAGATAAATATTTTAATAGAGCTTTATCTTTACTAGGCATACGCCACTCATCTGGAGGAAAAAAAAAGTAATGCTACCACCGTCTGAAGCAAGAAACACTGCTTCAGTTCTACTGTTGCATAAGTAGCATTTTCTTTGAAATTACACAGTGACAAAAACTTATTAAGGCTTTATAAGGCTGACTAGAAAAACAGTTTTAACAAATTGTTGCAATTCTTCTTCCTGATGCCAGTCTAATGACAGCTACTCTGTGAGCTTTTATCCAACAAAAAAAAGTTGCTAACGTCAAAAAAAAAAACTTTATCTAAACAAAATAAGGTCTCCTTTTTTTATTCTTTATGTCACGTTAGTTTTAACAAAATATCATATTTTCAATTGGCAGTCTCAAAATTACTAAAATTTTAGAGATTTAGCATCTAACAAACACAAAATAAATTTTCTACACATTAATTATCGTCTACTTCTCAACAAGCTCTGTTTGACATGTAAGTTTAAATTAACTTTTAAATTATGGATTCCTTTTCTGATCTTTTGATCTAAACTGAGTTCGCGTTATAATAGAGCTTTAACAGCAAAAGATCAGATTAAAAAATCTTTTTTAAGTGATAAATCAGCAAAATCACTGTAATGCTGACTTCTTTAATAAATTTTGTTTTTGTGATACTGCTCATATGCAGCTAATACTCCTTCAAAAACAGTAAAATTTAATTATTATAACTGCAAACTTTAAAAGTACAAGAAAAGAAATAATAATATTAATAACGATATAGCACCTTTCAAAGCTTAATCTGTTTCCGCAAAAAAGTAGTTTAAGGATTTATACAACTAATTTTGTAAAATCATTTTTTTCGCTTCTTTACAGCCGATTAACTGAGAATTACAAAAGCAGCAGTTATACAAGAGAGCATGCGTAAATTTTTTTAAGTTCTCTCCATTTAAAATTCACTTCATTTGTAGCGTGGATCTGTTTGACGATACCCATAGCAATTACCAGATTATCAAGAAAAATGGCGACTACAGAAACTCGGGAACAGGCTGACACAGTAGCAGTGTTAAGTAGCAGTTGCAGTTTGTTGATGGCTATCAGAAAATCGAACAGCATTTTTGAACCAAAACTTTTGAGAAGGTTCATTTCTGAGTTTTACTCAGTCTAACCCAAAACTTAGATTTCAGAGTTGAACCACTTACACTGTGTTCACTTATCGGCTCCATCGACTGACACTGTTTATGTTTCACTTTTCTATATAATGCTAGTTTACTTGACAGAAAGAGACAGCCTTACTGAGAATTATTTTTTTTTTTAGTGATATTTAATTTTATGTATGTAATAAAAGCTGTCCTTAAGCAGTAATTCATTAAAGATACAGAATTCCTTCCTTTATTGATTAGCCTCCTAAATTTAAATTTTTGAAAATTTCTT